CAAGGTGCCTAGTTTACATGGACGACATTATTGTTTTTGGAGCAGATTTCGAACAGGTCCGCGATAATCTTGATCGAGTGCTGACAGATCTGACCGCGGCAGGAGCTGCCATTGACCTTTGGAAATCCACCTTTTTGGCAAAGCGCATCACCTTTCTCGGACATGAAGTCGACCAGACTGGTACCAGGCCACTCCAAAAGGACATGGACGCCGTCTGCAAGTTTCCACGACCGGAGACCACGCGACAACTCCAACGATTCCTCGGTATGGCTACATATCTCCGCGCGCACTTACCAATGAATTTCGCAGAAGCCGAAAAAGCGCTCTGCCGCATCATCCCAGCAAAACCCCTGACGCATCTCGCTTGGGACACAGCGGCCGAACAGGCCTTTGCCAACATCAAGGACATACTTGCGGAATCGGCCCATCTGGAATGCATCGACCCAAAGCGACCAACCGAGGTACATTGCAACGCCTTGGCTACAAGCCTCGGAGCAATCCTTGTCCAGATTGACGAACAGGGGCACCCCAGGGTGATCAAATACGCCAGCCGGGTTTTGTCCGACACTGAAACGCGGTACACGAATTCTGAAAGAGAGCTGCTGGCAATCGTCTGGAGTGTGACACGTAAGTTTCGCCATTACTTAGAAATGCGGGACTTTACGGTTTATACCAATCACAAGGCACTATTGGGAGAATTAAAAACAACCCGTCTAATATACCTGAAGACCAAGCTTGCTCCCTTCAAGATGAAATTAGTGCATAAACCAGGCAAACTCCTCAAAGGACCAGACGCCCTCAGCCGGGTCTGCATCAACGCCGGCAACGCACGCAAAGTACCCACACCAGAGGACATACCCAAGATCTTCGACGAGTACCACGCCGAACTCGGCCACGCCGGATGGAAGAAGATCTACAAAACGCTTAACCTGCGGTACCACTGGCCCTCATTGCGCCAAGACGTGTGGAAGCGGATCCAGGAGTGCAACCTGTGCTTCAAGTACAACATCCCCACAACCATCACGGGCACCGAGCTGTCGCCGATCGTAGCCACCTACCCTCGAGAATGACTAACACTCGACTTTTACGGACCTCTCCCGACTTCAAAACTCGGAAACCGGTACGCCATAGTATGTGTGGATCACTTTAGCAAATACATGACGGTAAAGCCCATTAAAGCCGCAGACGCCGCCACCGTTATTCCGTTTTTAGCAGAGCTTTTTAGACAACTAGGAACGTCAGACTACGTCCACACTGACTGCAACTCTGTGTTCCGTTCTCGCGCCTTTAAATGGTTTCTACGCGACGCCGGGGTAAAGCAGCACGTGGNCAGAGGCCAGATGCAGTATCGGGTGATGCCCTTCGGCCTCAAGAACGGACCAGCGGCGTTCCAGCGAGCGGTTAACTCCATCTTAAGAAAACATCTCTTCACAAGGTGCCTAGTTTACATGGACGACATTATTGTTTTTGGAGCAGATTTCGAACAGGTCCGCGATAATCTTGATCGAGTGCTGACAGATCTGACCGCGGCAGGAGCTGCCATTGACCTTTGGAAATCCACCTTTTTGGCAAAGCGCATCACCTTTCTCGGACATGAAGTCGACCAGACTGGTACCAGGCCACTCCAAAAGGACATGGACGCCGTCTGCAAGTTTCCACGACCGGAGACCACGCGACAACTCCAACGATTCCTCGGTATGGCTACATATCTCCGCGCGCACTTACCAATGAATTTCGCAGAAGCCGAAAAAGCGCTCTGCCGCATCATCCCAGCAAAACCCCTGACGCATCTCGCTTGGGACACAGCGGCCGAACAGGCCTTTGCCAACATCAAGGACATACTTGCGGAATCGGCCCATCTGGAATGCATCGACCCAAAGCGACCAACCGAGGTACATTGCGACGCCTTGGCTACAAGCCTCGGAGCAATCCTTGTCCAGATTGACGAACAGGGGCACCCCAGGGTGATCAAATACGCCAGCCGGGTTTTGTCCGACACTGAAACGCGGTACACGAATTCTGAAAGAGAGCTGCTGGCAATCGTCTGGAGTGTGACACGTAAGTTTCACCATTACTTAGAAATGCGGGACTTTACGGTTTATACCAATCACAAGGCACTATTGGGAGAATTAAAAACAACCCGTCTAATATACCTGAAGACCAAGCTTGCTCCCTTCAAGATGAAATTAGTGCATAAACCAGGCAAACTCCTCAAAGGACCAGACGCCCTCAGCCGGGTCTGCATCAACGCCGGCAACGCACGCAAAGTACCCACACCAGAGGACATACCCAAGATCTTCGACGAGTACCACGCCGAACTCGGCCACGCCGGATGGAAGAAGATCTACAAAACGCTTAACCTGCGGTACCACTGGCCCTCATTGCGCCAAGACGTGTGGAAGCGGATCCAGGAGTGCAACCTGTGCTTCAAGTACAACATCCCCACAACCATCACGGGCACCGAGCTGTCGCCGATCGTAGCCACCTACCCTCGAGAATGACTAACACTCGACTTTTACGGACCTCTCCCGACTTCAAAACTCGGAAACCGGTACGCCATAGTATGTGTGGATCACTTTAGCAAATACATGACGGTAAAGCCCATTAAAGCCGCAGACGCCGCCACCGTTATTCCGTTTTTAGCAGAGCTTTTTAGACAACTAGGAACGTCAGACTACGTCCACACTGACTGCAACTCTGTGTTCCGTTCTCGCGCCTTTAAATGGTTTCTACGCGACGCCGGGGTAAAGCAGCACGTGGCCCACGCAGGGCACTCGGAGGGCTATGGGTGCTGCGAGCGTGCTATCCGCACACTCACGCAAATCCAAGCCAAAGCTGTTGACGGGCAATCAGACGAATGGGACCAGCATATTCAAACATCTGCACTGGCATATAACAATACAATCCATTCATCAACGTCTCTTTCCCCTACAGAAGTCTTTTTTGGCAAGCCCGTCCGACTCAAATCCGACGAGCAATTTGGGGTACAAGCCCCCCCCCATTGAGGAACAATTGCTGGATATTCATCAGACGACGGAACAAGCACAACAGGCCTTTTGTCAAGCAGCGAATCGGAAGCTCCGACCCCCGTTCCAACCAGGAGACCTTGTGGCCATCAGACCCCGACTTCCCACGGTCCAGCAACACGCGGCCGACTGGCGCTTCTGGATCATGCAGTTGGGTCCTCACATCATCATACGCAACCTTGGGCAGGGACAATACCTCGTCGGAGCTGGAAAAAACATCTGCTCAGCCAACGCGTGGGAAATGGTCCCAGCCAGCGGGCTCCCACGACCCCCCGACAGCGACCCCTCCGGACACATGAAAATCGCCCCTCCCGGAAAGCCTAATCCAGCTTATCATGACACCGATTTTTTTTTTGCAGACCCCACAGCCGGGTGTGTACGGTTGAAAAATTATAGGGTAGTCATCCTTCGACAGACTCCATCTCACACGCGTCGAAACTCCCACGGCAACTTTTAAAAAATGTTACCAAACCAATCAGTCGCAAGAATTCCAATGGGAGTGAAAAACCTTCCAATTGCTCCCGACTTCGGTTACGAATTCGCAAGAATGCTCAGCGCAGCAAAACTAAAGCCCCGACAAGCCGCCCAACTTTGGTCAGTTGCAGAATCACACATCAACGCCGTGCTCGGCGGGAAAGAAATACCGAATGCCGAACTCGAAAACGCGATTCAAGGTCATCATCCTTTGAACGTGGCAGACCTGTACGAGACCTCAGTTCGTCACCTCATCCCTGTTCACGACAACGCAGCGCAGGAAGTGGTTGTGAAAAGCCGCGATGAAGCAGCTGCAACTCGTCGAGCTCATTATCGCCAATTGGATAATAATTTTGTCCACGTTTACGATTACTGCGACACTGCCGTTTGCAGTGTTTCCGAGATGACCATAATTCCAGAAGCCATTTGGATTCATTTGATCACCGAAAAACCCGAGGACCTTCGGGGATTCGCGGTTCTTAGCAATACGGGGCACTTCGAGCAACAGCTAACCGTGTTCGTGGGTGAAATTAACTACTACGCCTACGATTTGAATGTGAGTACTACTGTTATTGTAATCGTGTAACGTATAAGGTAATGCGGTGTTGCGTTCTAGTTTTCTAACTAACACAATCCACAAAACAACGGAAGAAACTTCTCACCTTACTGCAAATTTAATTCCATTCTTCGTTCGGTAATTGCAAACCAAATCGCGATTTTCAATACATCCCCAATTGTTTTCCAGTTTACTAAGAGAGCTAGAAATGTTCCCATAAGCTATGACGAGCTGATTTTGTCTGCATCCCTCGAACTGAATAAGTAAAATTATTCAGTAAAATTATAGTTTTGGCTAATTTTTTGGCCAACAAAGAGCATCAAAACTGGCTAGCTCAAATTTTGAAAATGTTAACTTTCTCATTTTGAGAATTAATTGGATATTCGTCAAGAAGATCTAAAATAGAAAACATGTCGGAAAATTTTTCTAAAACCGAGGGCTCGATAAAATCGATGCATACTCTAAGAAAATCTTATATTCTTCTGGTTCCAAGTCGATTTCATGACTCAAGGTAATTTGATACTTCTTGATGAGAGAAAGAAAAATACACTACTAATAAGTATTTAGCTGCGGTAGATGTCACGATAATTAATTAAATCGGGAACGTCTGGTGTCACAGATAGAACAAGAGGGTTATCGCGGCAGGACATAAAAGCAACAACAAAAAACGACTCTTCCGCAGAACATCTCATTCATCGTCGATTTCCTGCACACGCAGCGCTACCCATAAAAATACTTTGGGATCACAATACTGTAATCATTCATCGCTTCAATCGTGTTTCCAGAAATTTTCAGGTAGTGCAGGAATCATCAACCCGAAATAAATTGCATCAGAACTATGCTCACGCGAAGTAAAACTTGTTCTTCGAAAATGTAGTGCGGATCAACAACGTACAGTATCACCTTTGAATTCGTTTACAATTACATACTGAATGTTGATATATTTCTCTGAGGAATTTTCCTGTGATGGCGTACTCCTTTTCCGAGTTCGTACATCATCTTAATTTGACCAATGTTTCGAATTGCGGCGGATGCGTGCTGCACCTTTTTCTCCGGCGAATTGAAGCGATAGGGCGACGATGCCCCAGGCGTCTGAATCTTTGTCATCCATCTGGAAAGATATTATCTTCGGTTTGCCTTTTTCGGCCGGACTGAAACCGTGTCGCACGTTTTTCTTGATTATCAGTGACGACCCTGGTTCCAGTATCGAGTTATAATCGTTGGCGATGAATCTCACTGGCGCGTGGAGGATGTAAATGTATTGTTCGCAGTCCAGTTTCAAGTCGGGAGTGTCCTGCGTGTCGCTGTTAGTGAGTTCTTCCGGGAAGGTGTATTCGCAAGAGATAAGTCCTGTTGCCGTGCATTCCGCAGATCGGAAAAGTCGAAGAGATTTTGCTTATTTTATTGCAGTTATCGAAACCCGCAGCTCTAGATGATGCAGATCATTTTTTTCGAATCTGAATTTTTATTCTTTTTTCTTTTAGCTCTAGATGATGCAGATCATTTTTTTCGAATCTGAATTTTTATTCTTTTTTCTTTTCAGAGTCGAAGAATTCTGAAATGTTCCGTGAATTTATGGAATATGGGATAGATAATATAAATTGTATGCTTGAATAATTGTAAGATGTGTCATATTTTACCAAGGGTGTAATTTCAAAACTGTTTGATCTATATTTTTCGCAGTGTTCCATGAAAAAATATGGGCAATTCACATGATTATTCTTTAGACATGTTGAAATAGTATCCGGCCTTTCAAATTTTAGTTCAATCCACATGGTTTGAAACCGTGTATGGAAGTAGCAAAAAAATCAGTGCATCACCAATTCCCACTTCTGTTCGTGCGTGATTTCGTGATCTCCTGCACTTTTCCATAAGGTTCCGTTGAACCGATGGAATCAAAGTACAATAATTGATCCGAACCAGATTCCGCTAATCATCAATGTTAAGGGGTATCAATGGTTCGGGATTGAACGTTACACGTATAAAAATGGAGTACGGCAACTCCGTGATTGGTTATTGTGGAATGTTTCAGTTAGTTTCTTGAGTTATTTGAGACTTCTTGTTTTCCAAATCAATGGGGACTTCGTCAGTGAAAAGAATGGGCAATTATGTCTTTTCATCACATCATCAGATGTTAAGGAAGAAAATGTTCGAGCAAAATTAGTTCCGCATTTCGTTTCCGAAGCAGGCACGGAAATTAGGCACTCCTTATGTTCAGGGAAGCCGGAGGGTGATTGATATTGGAACTACAGTAATTTTGTACTGTATTACGTTTGTTTGCTTGCGTTATCCTAAGTATATTCCTAACAATTTTAGCTGATCTTTATTTCACGCAAGGTTCTCAAGCTTTTTTCATGATTATCATAAATCGAGTCGTCATACCTGGCTGAAATGGTGCGCCTGCCATCAACACTCTCCGCAAGTATTTCCCGAAGCTTTTTGGTCCTGATTCCGAGTACTTCGTTACTAGAGTACCTGGTGAGCCGTGAAATCGCTTCATTTCCGGTCCATTTTCGATTTCCCGTAGCTTAGCTTTTGCTTTCGAGAGAAATTCGTCCTCGGTCATGTTCCGGATGCAGTCGAGAAAATCCGTTTGGCCCAGCACGCCTCTGAACGTCACTGCGACTATGTAGGCTTCGTCCTCGGTCCGTTTCGTGAACAAGTGCGGGACGAATGGCACGATGTAGTTCATGTCTCCCGTGCTTGTTTCAAAGCATTGAGGTTCGTGCTAAATACAGTAATTTCAGCGATCATTTTACGTCTGAGCATTCGTCTGCAATTTTTAAAACGTGACCACTTGTCAACGATGAATGAGATGTTCTGCGGAAGAGTCGTTTTTTGTTGTTGCTTTTATGTCCTGCCGCGATA